AGCCTTTACCTCCAAATTGTCGCCCTGTGTGATTGGCTTGCACTTGTCCTGTAATGGACTGGCCTTCCAGGGTGAACCCTGCCTTGTGCTCGTTGCTTGCCAGGTAGGCTCCGGCTCCCCGTGACACTGTATGCTATAAGGCGGTTTGGCAAATTACATTACATGAGCAGAGCATAGTAAAAGGTAAGCAAGTAAGAAAATAAGGAACTCTTCGAATAAGAGGAGGCTGGTTGGCCCATCTAGCTCTTTGGGTTTTTAGTAGCTAACGGATCCACGGAGCGCCCCTTTGTTTTGAAAGATGCAATTGTATCAGCTTTGACCAGGGTCTGGTAGCTTGTTCTAAAACTATTTGTTTTCTTTCATGGTTCATGTTTCACAGTTATTTTGAAGACATCTTTTAGGTCACCATTGTAAATAACCGAGGATTCTGAACTTGATTTAGCTCCCTCCATCGTCTTCTCTGATCAAGGCTAAAACGGTTTAGTAGTTCTTTTAGCCTGTCAGAGTAGGATCCTCCTTTAAGCTGAGTAATGGCGATGCTCTTCTCTAAATTCTCTCTCTAATACCTATCTCTCTACCACTTAGGTGTTACTAGTGTATTGCACAATTTGAACCTAACATCCCTTGATTTAAATTCTAGCTTTTAATTACGTGTCTGTGACAAGCCCACTGTGTTGGTTCTCTGATGTAAACAGGATTTCATTAGGGTCTGACCCAATAAACCCAGTCTCCTTTATCCTTCTTTTCTGTACCTTTTTTTTCCCCTCTGTGACCCAAACACACTGTTATATACATAAGCCCAGTTAATTAACTGACAGAAAATAATCTTTTATTTTTATTTTAAAAAATTATCAGGTGAAACAAGTTAGTCTTTGAGGTCACCCTTCCAGTAAGCCTCTAGTTGCAAACTTACTGTAACTGCAGGCAGCTGGAAGACTGTTGGCCTTTTTGGAGCTTCAGCACACGGTCTACTCTAGAAAATAAATGTACACCAATGCTGTTACCAACTGGGGCTGGGGGGAGTGAAAAAATGACAAATTAAGAAGTTTTCAAATCAATATCCAGTATTAGGTCCCAAGAACAGCTTGCTTATGTACAGTAAGCAAATTATAAAGCTCAATGATAACTTCACTTCCCATAGTCAGGGAATACTGGGCGTATTACAACATGTGATTTCTTTATTCTCCTGTACAGCTTGGTAATAGAGCAACAGATAGGCAGCTAACTGCCATACACATATTTATATTTCTGCAATTTGTCAATCAATCATTACTGCCCCTGTGAAAACTGGACAACTTGTATCTATGATCTATGATCTACGACAAGCAGATTTTCTTACCTTAAGTACAATTGTGGAATACCATCTCAGATTTGTTTATCTTAAGATCTTCTAGTACCTGTAAAATGTCTGCCTAATCTATGCTAATGTACAAATAACTTTGTCTTAAGTGACTACATAGCGGAAATATGAGAAATGAAGGAAACAACTTTCAAAGAGAAATTAGCTTGAAAGGCCAGAAGCAGTATCCTAAGTAAGGTCGAGATTAGACAGGTGTATGCCATGTCCAAATATAATGAATTTGCTTTGTGTTTCATAATATCCACTGGATGGTCCTTTTCAATACAATCACACTGGAATTTTACAGCACTGAGTGACTGTCTCTATAACTAGAGTGCATGGTCTCGTGTGCCTTGTTCTCTTTATTCATGAGTACTGGAAGTCTGCTAACTGATTTAGTCTGCCACGCACATGATGAGTATGTGTAATAGAGAGTGCCATTTTCAAGCTCTTATCTTTCTAACATATTTCTTGAAAAATCAAATAAAATCTTGTATCATCAAGGAATGCCTTGTTTTGAGTAGAGGCAGCACTTTGACATCTAGCTTTTATCTTTAGCATCCATCTCAGCACTTTAACATTTATTGTTTGTAGCAACTGTCGGTCCACATTTTGCTTCCTTGTACAAAAATACTTGCTTTTACCAAGTCAGTTTCTTCATTTACCTCTTCAGAAATAACAGTGAGATTCATGATCACTACAGCCACCCTCTGTCCTCCACACAAAGACATTAAAAACACTTTTTTTTCTGCGAGGACTTTAGGAAAATGTAACAGACCAATTCTTTTTCTTCATTGTCTATGTCTGAAAAGCAAGAAGACAGCTGAACTACCATATTTATATAAACCCTGAGGAGAAACAACAGAAGAGTATTGAAGGAATTCAGCCTGTTTAAAATAGACACCATCCTATTTCAGAGGATTACAGACAGCTGTGTTACCATCACACTTTTGTTATTAAAATTATTGAATCTTGCATCTTATATTCATTGTTTTGGCTTTGAACCTCTACAGTACATCCTTAGGTAGTGTGATTTAGTTCTCCTATATGAGCAATCTTACAATGTGCTCCTTGCGATGTTAAACATACAGTGCTGATATACAATTCAAGATGAGGGTGATGTCGTTGTCTTTGTCTCAAGGGCGGCACATGACTGAAGAGCATTGCCCTCATTTTTTATGTTGATTGAACTTCATTTATATTTCCCTGCATTGCTTGATTGGAATGGACTTTATTTCATCACGCAGTAGCAACTTAACAGCTTTAGAACATTCATAAATATCTGACTGTGTGTTATGATAAGTAGGCTTTAAGTACCTATATTTTATTTTCAAAGCCGACTAGTGCCGCGTGATTCTCTTCACTTCCTTGTCGTCTTCCATTCATTCCTCTCGGAGAAGTTGATTCTCAGTCTGCGCTCTGGAATGGACTGAGCACAACATCTGAGCAGAGAGGAAGAAAATCACATAGAGAATATGTGCGAAACAAAAAAAAACAGCAAATCATAATTATTCTTATTCTCTTCTGTAATTATTCTTTCAATGACTAACATTTATGTTAACTGTTCTTGTAGCTGACAGATATTCTGGAGTCCACAGAAATATTTACTTGGCGGTACAGAACATCCAGTAACACAAATAACCCTAATACTTAGTTCTAAAAAAAGCTTTTGAGGGCAATTGTCATGTGAAAAATGAATCAGATCAATCAAATCATATACAGTACCATCTCTGTGCTTCAGTGTCTTCCAGACACACCTGAAACAAATATGGTTTTGGGAACCATCTATACACCCTCCCTACAGGAACATGGAAGTTCAGAGCCTAACTAAGCAGGCACAGGGTGCAAGGCAGGAATACACCCCAGATAATATCTCAGTTCTTTGTAGGGCAGGGGGACAATACAAATCAACTAATTATAATTTTCACAGATTTGAAAAGTATGTCTTTGGACTATGGAAAAACATTAGAGCACCTGCAAAAAAACTCATGTGGACCCAGGAAGAACATGCATACTCCAGCTAGAAGGCTCTACAGGTCCAATAAGGACCCAGTATTTATCGGCTGTGAGTAAATATGCCACCTTGCTCTCCTGATCTTGCTGTCTACAACTAAATTAGTCTTAGTTTCTTAATAAGTATATATTTGACCAAATTTAAAGGAATGTTTTCTGTATTGGCCTCAATAATGGAGCCATGATAACATTTAGCAGGGGGCTATAAAGATACCCTCCATAGAATTGTATGTACAGTACCTGTCCACACAAAGACAAGAAACGCAAGCATAAAATTCTGGAGTAAATTCTTCTGACATTGTTAGCAAGCAAGCATTTCCAACACGACTTTTCAAATAGAAAAAAAAGTTATATTTACTGTGCTGCTTAGATGGTGAATAAAGGATGCGGACTTGGTGAATAAAGTTCAAATAAGGAAGCAGCCTTCTCAGTGCCTGTTGTCACTTACATTACTCTGCCACACCAATACAATAAGTTATCAAATAATATCTAAAGTTTTTACACAATGGCAGCTCTAATCATATGCTTGTATTAACCCCAATAAGCCATAATGTTTAAGTAACTGGAATGTAGCGAGAATGCAAACGTTCCACAATCAAAAGTGTTGCCTTCTAACAGTAAGAGGTCTTCAGACTAACACTGAATTTCATCTCTGTGCATTAAACACAGTTACTGAATACTCAAAATTGTTGTACATTGAGTTTTAAATAAACACCTGATTTGGCACCTGATTTGGAATAGCTAATTGTTTGAGGTGTCCAGCCATGAACTGGGGGGGGGGGGAGAACACATACAGGCATGAGTTCTATTCCTATATTAAGCCCTTTTTTAAAAAAAAGATTTGTGTTATACTCACCTGATCTGGAATTGTGGTTGATCTGTTCAACCACACATTGAGAAGAATGAAGTCTAAGCAGACTCTGACCTGCTCAACTTCAAGCCACTTGTCTTCTAAAACATCCCATACGATACAGTCTTGTACTGGAGAGGCGTGTCCCTCACCAACAGCTCCACAAACCTGTAAACCTGTGAGGCCACAGGGGCTGGGGTGTCACAGACAGCCAAGAAAGCCCTGGCTGACTAACCCCACTCTCGTTGATGCTCAGCGCTGTTGCATAAGGAATCCTTGTCACAGTCAGGTTAGAGAAATGATCCTGACCCAAACCCGTGTTCGTATAGCACAACCTGCACTCAGGCAAGCACCACTCGAGCCAGACAGGAAGCCCCTTAAGCACCTTTTTTAAGGCACACAACCTCCCCTGACCTAATCCAATCCCTTAGTAAAGTCTACTTACCTTACTTAAGGGCAGTAGTCAGATAACAGCCACCTACTGTGATTGCATTTTTAACCCTAACCTCATATTAAAATAAGATGCAATATGAAATCAACTTCAATAAGCCTCAGCTATGATATGCAGTAAAAATTATTTCAGTAAGTAAGCCAAGCAAAAAAACAAACAAAAGAAAGTTGTGGAAAACACACGGCATCACAAAATTCAGTATTTCTGCTTTTATGAAAATTTCATATATACTTTTTTTTTTACAAAACAGCAGGTAACAGATGAAGTACAGAATGGATGTGGTATAGATGACATACAAGAATAGCTATGACAGATAAATGAAACTTTTTGGAAAAAAGACTGCAAGATTGTGTTAAGAGTTCATTTAATATGATCACAGAGATAACATTCTCTCCTTTTTATTATTTTCTGGAAAAAAAAGACGTTTCTGTAATCCTCTTGCATTAACATTTCCGAATTCTGTACAAGATAAAAAGAAATAAGCACTGCTTAAGGTACAGAGTAAAATCTCAAACTAGAAAAACAACTCCAAAATAAAAATTAGAAGAGGTTTACAGTACAAATTAGTAGTAAGACATTGTCTGAAGTGCAATGGCATAGCTCTGATGAATTTAAAAGTGGAAAAATGAAATAAAAATACTTCTCTATTTTAAACAAACAGTAATTTCTTTACAGATAGTAGAACCAGTATTATCTGATGTATTCCAACTTGTAAAAACATATTTACAAAGAACCATTATCTTTTTAATTTTTTTTTCATCAACATCACATGTACGTCAGCACCAGAGTACAAAAAAGGAAAACAAAACAAGAACAACAAAAAAAAACATGAAAAACAATTTCTACTTTACTTGGTCCCGGATACACAATATTTGGAGGAAGCTTTCAAGGACAACACAACCTGTTGTTCAAGGACTGAGCTGTACGCCAGTTGCCTGCAACGCCATCAGATACTGAAGTTTTATTTTTTTTGGTAGGCTTGCATTTCATCTGCAGTTTTTAAATATGCAGTTTTGCCACCCTACACACTTACAGCAACAGAAACATCCCTCGACCAATAACAAATGATGACAGAGATGCTTCACAATCGAAACTGGCAGTCTGCTGTGGGAGACAGAAGCAGACCAGATACAATAAAAAAACAGGAAACATGGCTGTAAATTTTACATGAAAACAAGACTGAAGATACAGTAGGCCCAATTCACCCTGAATTGCCCCCTTGTTACCCCAGCATCCCTACCCAGTGAAGAATATCTGTGTTAGGAAAGCCATTTTCTCTTCAGTGTTTTTTAACTGAAAAAAACAAACACTGCTAGTATTGGTTCAGTCAAGACAAGAACTTGATTTAAGTACTTTCCCACTGCCACCTTTTCTCATTTTAAAACTATGTTCCCATAAAATATAGTGAAAGATAACCTACTATTTTACACTCTCATAAATGAGAACAGTGGTACTATGGGACCATAACTTGAAATGTGATTTTTTTTATAATCTTCATGAGGGAAAAAAGAGTCTTGATCTGGGCTTTGGAACACATGACGACAACCAGACCTACTGTGTTTCTCTTTGGTATGATGGTGGCATTTGTTTTATTTAACCTATATTTCCACAGTAGAAGTCTTTTCACTTCCAATCTCTCATTAAATAGCCTTAGTCTTCTTGATAAATGACCTCCCTATCAAAGAAAAGCTAAAGTAATTAACTCACCAAAGCTTTCAGAACTGTTTCTTTTGACTGTACTTTTAAGTTGGTCACCGAGAAATGGACTGGTACACTATAACACTGATCAGAAGTAATAGGTGCCCTCTCTCCTTATACTAATGTGCTTTAGCACATATCATCCATGTAAGGAAAAGCTATATTTTTAATGCTGATAATTTTAGTTAAAATGATACTGCTTATGAAGAAAACAAGAAGGAGTTCAGAGATAAACCTTCATGAGTTATATTCAGTCGTATTCTCGGATGTGAATCCATAGCAGATGGAATACTCCTGGTTTTAAATTCCAGGCTGTCCTGATAAGCAAATCCTATATTCCTAAAGGGTTACATTCAAAAGCTCAAGGCAATCTAATTCAGTTGTATCCAGTCCCGGTGTCTGGACGGCCAGTGTATCTGATTGAGCTGGTTTTCATTTAATTCCAGTTTACAACCTCAACCAGTGTATGACTGGCTTAATTGAACAACTTCAGGTGCTGGTGCGTTAAAGAAACGTATTAAAACCTGCAGACACATAGGCACTCCAGGGCTGGGATTGGACACACCAGATCTAGTCAACTTCAGGAAGCACCAGAAACTGCACAATCAGACCAAACAGTTAGAGGAAGACTAAAGAAAGCAGGGTGGCCATCAGTATTATGAAAGACGAAAATGGCTTTAGTACATCCAAGGTCAGCTTATACAAAACTGAACAGCTAAGCTTCATGAAATGGTGCTTTGGTCACAGAAAAATAATATTACCAGCCCAGGTTTACATAATGATATAATTAGAATTATTTATATAATTATAAACCCAGCCTGAACTTGAGAAATACCTACCAAAATAATCCCTTAATATTTAAAAAAAGGCTGTTATATGATGCCTTTATTTAACACCAGTTTGCGCAATAACCAATGTGATGCTGAAGTGACAGGAAACAAACCTTCGAAGGCAGATTTAGAAATATAACAGCCATGTGCCCTCTTATGGACAGCATGCCTTGAAGGCTTGTAGCAGTAATTAGAGTAGACAGAAGTTCTACAAAATAGTCAATCTTTATTTATAATTGATTTCTATGCATATTGCAAAATGTGTTCAAGACTACAGGACTTCATTGAACCATAAAATATTTAATTTTGAAACCAACCTCATTTAACGAAGAAAGGAAAATAATATTAAAATAGTAAATTATGTACTGTCTCCCCATGATTTCTCAGTAGCACAGATTGCTGACTCACACAAAGAGAGTAACCTCCATTTTTACTCCATGTTTATTGGCTTTTTCGGTGTTGCTTTCCACCCTATGACTAACACTAAAGAATTGCACCCTTTACCATATCAGATTGATCACAGTGTAGATGTTTTTCTAATACAATATGAAGTGTTATAAAAATTAACCTCAACAGCATTATTTTAACACTATGTTGTGTTGTCTGTAATGAGTAATACACATTTATCTATGGCACTATGAAATGTATTCCTTTAAATGTAGTTTTTGTGACTATTTTACTCTATTCAAGTTTGCCTCCAAGACTATTTTAAAATGACCAGTCTTGCACTTTTATTTTAATATTGCTAAAGTAATAAAAATGTATACCCTGTGCTACTGTACAGCATGGACAGCAAAGGCTTTGTTGTATCTAACAGTGTTCCAGCAGACCCTGGAAATAATGCTCTGCATTGTAACATGGATCTGAAAAACTGTGTTTCAGTTCTTGACTTCTCTGTGAAAAAGAGTAGCACAAATTATACCATTCACATTGTAGAAGTACTGACTGGGTCCCCCATTACAGCACGACCACCTCCAATTATTAAAGTTAAAATGTACTTATGTAATTCCGCATTAATCAAATAAAATGTATAATAATTGTAAAAGTAATTCACCTAGTCATTACCTTATGGCATGGATCTACTATGAATTGTAGAATAACTAAGAACATTGTCAAACTTAACTCAATTATAGTTTGAGAGTTTTACAAAAGTGAAAACTGAATTTGGAGCAAAAACAGCAGTTTAAATTAATAGATAGTTGAAGTGTTTCTAGTTCAATGTTACATTGCAAAGTCATTGAGTTTTAGAACTTTTTTTGCATCCAATCTAAATAAGACACTGATGTGACTTAATAAGTAGTGTTGTATCTTTAAAAAGTTATTTTTATACAATCGGCATTGGGTATTTCAGGGTTCAGGATAATTTATTTACTATCAATCATGAGAAAATTCACTTAAGGTGGACAGTACATTCATTTTACTCTGTTTTGTTCTTCATTTCTAGCAGATAAAGCTTTGTAATGTAATCACCTTAGCTGACATTTAACATTTCTTTCCATCCAAACAGAACTATTGGTAGCTGCCAGTTCTCTCACAGTATGATGTAGAAACTCAGCCCAGTAGATGCCTCTCACACTGGTTGCCCAGCAACAGCCCACACCTACTGCGTTGGCTCGGACACTAGACAAAGAAATATGATTGCTTTGTTGTTGTTTTTCACAGTATAAAAACAGACAAATACAGAGGAAATGCAAGCCTTTCAAAGATAAAATTTTGGTTAGAATACATAATAAATAGGTCATAGGGATGTTTTCCACAACTCATACCATTTACAATGAATATTATTGGCTATGAACTACTGCACAGCACAGCAAATCTGGTTAATATCTTATCTTTTGGTCAAATTCTTATTTGAAAGATTTTACATTTTGACACCACTCCAAACCAAAATCTTGTTAGGATTCCTGCAAGGAATTGTTAAGTGGCACAAAAAAATTGTAACAGAAGAGACAGCAAATTGGTAAGAAATTATAAACCCCTAAATCTAAAAATAAATTTAGCATTTTTTTCTTTTTTTCTTTTTTTAACCTCTTCATGTTCCTTACACCCACTCTCATGTGTAATGTGGAGATTTTGCAATATTATTGTGGAATTTATTTTCTAAACATACAAAAGTCTTAAATCCATTGACAGAAATAACCAAATCTGCACACACTTAAGATACTGAGCTAAGAAGTCAGAAGGGTAAATAATCTTTTTCTTAAAAAAAGGGGGAAAGTATGTAATTTCTAAAAATTAAAAAAATAAAACACACTCCCATAGAACTGCACAGTTTTGGAGTGACTACCAAACCGACCCAGTTCACAAAAGCCGTGATACTTTTTTAAAAATAATCTGTCAGCCCAAACAGGTGATGCAAAAAATGAGGCCTTTATCAGCTCATTAATGCTTTCCAAAAAAGGTTTAATTGTCCTCTTTCTTTTTCCTCAACTAATGTTCACTTACAGTCCATGTAAAGTTGAAAGTTGGGGCCTTTTTTTTTTGCTATTGACTAGGAAAGAACTCGTCCATCCAGCCATCTGTAGAGTCCAGGTCTGCTCCGTCTGGTAAATTAAAAGATCCTCCTCCTGCTGACTGGCTGGTATAACTGTAAGACAAGTCCTGACTCGATGTCCGCTGGTAGCCTGGTGGCTGACCGCCCTGTACGTAAGAGCCACCACCAGCTGCCATCTGCTGCCCAGGGCCTTGGCTAAAAGGAGTCATATTGGGAACACCCTGGGTCATTCCAGCCATGACCATGGGCCGTGGCTGGTTGGTCCTTGGTTGCCCAGACATGTGAGGCATCATCTGCCCACTCATTGCAGGGTTCATGGCTCTGGGATCCACAATAGGCTGGTTCATTCCTTGAGGAAAGTGTTGTTTGGTCATCCGCGGTTGGCCAGGCTGCATGGCATAAGCGGAGTTATTGTTGAAGGCCACCATTTCCCCACTAGTCCGTGCAGCTATGGCCTGTAGGCCTGGCTGTTGTTGCTGCCAGCCCTGGGCCCCCTGGGCAGCACTTCCCATCATCCCCTGGAGTCTCTGTGCTTGGGCCTTGGGCATGGCCTGCCCAACAGGTGGTCCTTTCATTTGCTGATGGGACATGGCGGAGTTTATCAGCATGGTTTGTCCATAACCCCCGACCATGCCAACCCCTTGTCCAGCACTGGGTTGTCTCTGGCCCTGTGAAGGGTTGTGGGACATATTCATGCTGCTTTGGTTTGGGTGCTGCAACATTTGGTTCATTGCAGGATTCATACTGTACATGCCCTGCTGGCTGCTCGGTGCGTTGCTATATGCCATGTTCATCTCAGACTGCGCCACTGTTGCCGGCATTGAACCAGAGTTTTGGACAGATGCCATCTGGAGCATGCCCTGACTTTGCTGCTGCTGAAGCAATCGGGCATTCCGGATATTCTGAAGAGCCTGGTTTCTCGCTGCCATTTCCTGTGTCGGTCCTGCAACACAAGCACATACAAAAAACAACATATATTTTACTCTTTGTCCATACTCATGTCCAGTTAATTGGGCTATTTCTGTAAATGTATTTTAATCGTTCAAGTCTTTTTCAGCTAGAACCACAACCAGGATGTGCCTGACTGATCTAATACAGAGATACAAAGTGGGCACTCCTGCTTTGTTTCATATAATTAAAAAGTTCACTTCTTCTGATTGTTTTAGCATAAAGGTTCTTCCATAAAGCGACAATAACTTAAAAAGAAATGTTCAGTAGTATTTTAAAATGTGTAAGAAAGAGGCACCCCTGAGAGCAAGTTCTTCGATCCATCTATGATCCCTCGGTCGTGTTGACAAGGGACTCTGACCAGGATTCCCCACGATAAAGTTCACAATCAGCAGCCATGAAAAGAAGCATGTGGGATTAGCTGGCCAGGAGTCGCCGAGCTGCTCGGGAACCTCCAGAATTGCTTGTGTTGCCTTTCATGTGTAAAAAGATGGGTGGCTCCAAGGTGGGCCAATCAGGGGAGTCTGACTATACTTCCTCATTTTCTCCCGTGTGCGGTGGCAGGGTTCAAAGTTATGAGCCGAGACGTGGAAACCGCACAACTGGTGAATTCAAAATGGGGTTGATTTCCAACAAAAATAATGACCGTGTATTTGAAAAAATCAAATTCCTGCTTTACACAAAACAAGCAATTCTGTAACCTTATCTGCCTTATTCTTATAGAAAATTCCTAAGTAGTACGTAGCATTACAGTACCTCTAAAATAAGCAAAGGTGCCAATGATTTGTAGCAATATGTGATCTTTTTAACCGTGTAGCCTAAGATAACCACTCCCACTCGGACTTTTAAGTGCTGGTGAGTTCTGTTTTGTAGTAGGTCTCTTAAAGCTTTTCATTTTCTCAGCAGGATATTAATTCTTAGACATACTACTGGATGTTAGCTGCCAGCTTTCTACAGCCAACAGAACTCCCCTGACACTGTGATTGACGCTGCCTTTGATCCATGCCTTCATGTCAGCGTTCATGATATAAGACAGAGACCAACGAGGGAGCATACCAACAGAAAGACGTGCAGCAATACACGGTGAGCACATGATAAGGACTCACTGCTGGATGTGCATGGTCTAATGCTGCCCAGACTGTATTGTGCAACTACTGTATACAGGGTAAGCTGGTTAAACATCTATAGTAACTCCTTTGTATTGGACTACTGAGAAAAAAATAATGTTCCAGTTGTGTCTCAGTTAAATAACCAAATTATATACACCAATACTCTTACAGCAATACTATAAAAACATAGAAAAGTTTTGCATAAAAAGTGTTAAAATTTAATGGGAAGAAAATCTTGTGTCAAATGTGAGTCCCTGAAGAAGTTTTTTAATTAATCTAAATAGGAAGAAAAACATACTGTGTAGCTCCCTAGAGGCGTGCTTTTCTTTTAACACCAAAGAAAGAGATTTAATATATTGTGGGCCGTCTCTCTCTATTACACTGCATGGGTTCAATTATAAGCTAAGGACGGCCTGTCTCATACCATGTGAGGAAAGTGCTAATGCCTACAAAAGAGAATGAATTACTGTAGATATGTTCGCCTGTGTATGAAAATACCTAAAGAAACACAAAACAGCTCCACTAATAACATTTTCAAAATAAAATTAAAAATCAATGGTAATCTTATTTATTAAAATTGCTTCTTTAGGATAATTATGAACATGACCTACTTTCTTATTTATACAATATGGCACTATTGTCGGATTTTTCAGACACTTACAAAAACATACTAACAGTATATATGAACATTACACTAAAAATAAATATAACATTACATAAAAGACATCAACCCATAGTGAATACACACCACTCCCACAGGAATCCACATACATTATCAGAATCTGTAAATTTACATCCCCTCAATCTCCCTGAGCCCCTATAATTAACAATTCCCCTTCATTTTTGTACACAACTGCTAATTACACTTGCCCATAAACCGATATTCCATTAATTTGATTCAATGTGGGGTAAAGGAATTCCTTGTTTTGTGAAGGCTGCATTTGAAAGCATAAAATTGATATTCTTGTATTGTGATACTAAAAACTTACACTGAATATCTGCAACATGCTTAGCGCAGTACATCTATGTGTCTTTTTCTAAGAAGACAAATCAATGACAACAGTGCAATTGCTTTTTCGTTAGCTGATGAGAGCTCCATTTTTCAATATTCTGAATCAGCTCAATGGAAAACTTAAAATCTGGGACAGGTTTCCATGGCAACAAGTGAAGTCTAAAAGTGATAGATTTCAGATGGACATGTCAGTTCTTGTAAGGAGTGCAGTCATACTATCGGTAGGTTACAAATTACCTTTCGTAATCAGTACGGGCAGCGCCAATATGATTTAAGTGTTGATGGTGTGAACAAAAGCTGTTTCCCCAGGGGTTAATGTTAAGATGGTTTCCATGGAAACTTGACAAGATAATCAATAGACCGAAGTGAGAGTTACCCTCCAAAGGGGAGGAGAAAACACTGGCACGTTCCCCAGCTGAACTACCAATAATTTGGAATGTCAAAGATTCCAGTGATTTGCTGTGAATTAAATAAGAGGGTATTGCACAGGCTGTTAGGACTGTAGAACAGTTGCAGTTCTGAAGTCATTAGGGTTAACATGTAGCAGCAGTGCATTAAACTAGCGTGACCATGACAGGCTGAACTTAATGCAGCCCACTCAAGCTTGAAAAAACAAAATGTTAATATTACTTTTCATAAATTCCCTGTATTTTCATCGTTAGCCAGAGGTAATACAAATGTTACAATACAAAGTAATACAATGTCTGTAATATACCATTGTTTCTCAGTATGTGGAAAATGCACTGACTCATATGGGTTTTCTCCCTGAAATCCCAGTATTCCTAGAATTTATTTTCATATAATTAATGTTATTTGACTGTTTTGGTGTTCATAATTCCAAATTCCATTACAAATGGCAGAGTACAGCATAACTGAAAGTGCCGAGTACTCCAAGATACACATGTTCTTGATGGCAGCGAAACCATAAGACTGAAATGAGTTGCAAAATATTTGTGCAGCTGATTCTATATCTAAGAAGCTATTCAATGACAAAGTACATGTCGTCAGAAGGTACTTGACCAAGATCCCATGCACACTACAGCAATTACATTGAAGCCAGTAGGAAAAATGCATCTTATATGTTTGAAGATTAAAGGGCAGAGACTATCACAATACATTTAAGCACCCTTTTCAACTATAGGTAATAAACAAGATGACTGGGGTCTCAATTTAATCAAGATTAAATTACGATTAACATTTTTTTTTAATTCAAGACATGTGACAGTATTCCATAGTGGCTCTAACTTGCATTTCCTTTAAACACAATTAAACTGATATGGAGAGCTACTGAGTAGGCAGAAGGAAATGTCCCTGATAACAGATGTTGCTGATTATGATAACTTATAACGTCAATGTAATTACCATGATTATAAGCCCTCTTCACAAAGCTCCTTACTTAACTCAAAGTATGTACTGCTAAAATTAATTTTGATACCCCTGAAAATCCTGGTAAAACTCAAGCATGGCAAAAAAAAAAAGTTCAGTCAAATGAAATTGAGTAGCACTGAATAAGAGTCTATCTGTGAAAACCCATACTGTAAATCAGTGTAAAAATCCTCTCTATTACGTGTTATAGCATTTCTGGAGGAATCAACTTATAGTAATATTTAACTTCTTTTATCTTGTCATTTTCTTTCATAGCTCTTCACTCTGCAACTCAGTAAATCAATGAGAAGATGACCATGAGGACAGACAAGAATCTGGACGGGAGATTTCAGCTGTGCTTTTAAAGCCGGGGCCTCGTCTGGGGGGATGTTAAGGAGCAGTTGGTCTCCCCTTAAAAAAATACAACCGGGAGCCCCAAGTAATAGGTTTTGTCAGAAATTAAGTGACAGTTTTTCAGGTTATGTCGAAAGTGCAATCTGTTCTTATCATCCAAAGATCTAAAACGAGACTTTTTTTTTCCCTTGCCCCAGACTGCAGAGCTGCCACGTTTTTCACAACATTCCTGTGTAAAAAAGGGTGTAAGAAAAGATGCCCTGACACGAGGCACACACATTCCTAGGTCTGCGCACACCAGCGCAAGTGTGCTGTCTGCGGGGCTCTATATGCACATATGCCAGCAGAACACACACAGCTGTGAGCTTTGACAGGTGCACAGCCAGACAGTTGCTCAGGTGCTACTGTGCTGGAGCGATCATGACTACAAATCAATAAAGGAGTGTTGTTTGACAAAGAGGTGTGTCGGCCATCCCATATGATCCTTACTCTATGTGCTACTGCTCCTAGGTGGGGGTGTGAATAGCCTTTGCTGTCATTACAAATGACAAAGAATTACAAATTAAACACAGCAATTACAGACTGTGAAAAAGATCAACAATAAAACACAGGCATGAATTTAGACAGACTTACTTTATTGGACATGCACATATAATATAGCTTGTATGGAGCTGTCCTATGTAAGGGGGTCTTTGAGCATTTTGTTGGAAATGGCACAGAAGAATCCATGAAGTTGTTATCCTGATTTGAGCTGTAATTAGATTTCTTAAAGGAAGAAAATCTAGATAGTTCCATAGATACTGCACTATAAATAACAATGCAAACTGAACATCCACTTTGTTCTTATTATTACCCCTATCAGTGATATATGCAGAAAACGATGCAATGTTCTCTGCTATTATTTTTCTTTCTTCTCTCGTGTGATAGAAACTTTCTTCAAAGATGATTTTATGACTTGCACTTTATATAGGCATCACCGACAACTGGGCTGACAGCTCAAACATATGGCTGGATTATTTCTCTACAGCAATAACAGTTTCTAACGAGGCTGTAAATTCTGAAACTTGTGGAACATGAACAGAACTTTGATCACATGCATTTCGTCTGCAATTAAAATTTGTTTAAACTCTCTGCCTGCTCTGCGGTTCCTCTAACAAAGCCGTCCAGGCTCTGCAAAGCATGTAACATCGGACGCAGGCTCCGCTCTTCGATGAAGCTGGTGCTGAATTGCAAACTTAGCAAATCTGTTGCTTGATCTAGCGAGCTGAACGCAGAATTGCCAGCAATTTTATGACACAAATGACTAGAGATAAATTTAGCAATATGCATAATAGTCATAAAAAATTCAGCCATCTTTATGTAAAGTGCCTAGAGAATGCTTGAATGGATTGAAAGCCTGTATGTAAGAATGGAACGGATTGATTTCAGAATTGACTAATTGAGGAATCAAAGATTTTTAGATGTGTTTACGTTTCCAAAATGGGAAGCGAAAAGCAGCCCCCACAAAGTGAAATCTTGTGAGAAGGGCGCATACTCAGATCATTCTGAGTTTCAACGATGACAGTGAGTGAATCAATGCTTACTCAACACACTCTGCCACACTAGGAACTGTTGAACTGCTCAATTAAAAAAATGGCAGTATCCACTAGCATTATTGCACTCATGTACAAAAATTATAAATGGCTGTTGAAATGGAAAGCGAGGCCACAAGTTACGATGTGGTAAATGCTAAAACACAAGCAAAATGACATCCACAACAGTATAAACTAGCAAATTATGACAACACAATCAATAACTGCAAGTCTCCTAAATATACTGTAATACTATATTAAATACTTAGTAATTAAATTCTTTAACACTATAAAGATTGTTATTTTTTTATATACCATATATGAACATTTTTGTTTCGATGCTCAACTGTACTGTGGCATTCAGTTATGAAACAGAGCCTCTGCAAAGTAAAAAAGGGACATTTTGAAGATTTGATGACTTTCAGACCTGAAAACCTGGCAGCGCCAGGTCAGCAAAAAGCCTAATGAACGCTCACCCTAAGAAAACCTAACATCGCCATCCTGAGTTGCAAGAAGTTGTTCAAATTCAAGATTAATACAGTACTGGTAATAGCTGCTGTTGTCCACACTGCACAAAAAGCACTATAGTACAATTGAAAGGTACAGTTTACTATGAAATTCTTTTTAAGTTTGTTAATGATGTTTTTTTTCAAACCTGTCAATAAAAGTGCTTAACTAAAATAACCTGTAATGTTACAGCTTCCTAGCGATTTCAAGTAGCAAAACAGCTAGTGTCATATCTGACATTAAAGTACATTATTAAGATACGAAACTGAAGATGGTAAAGGGAAAAGCTTGACCTGACATTAGGATTTTTGCTCTCTAGATCTCAATCTTTGCACAAGCTTTGCATTTATACTGTCCCTATATTAGCAAGAAAACGTGTAGCATCAATTTGTTCATTATATCCTAACAACTACTTCAGGTACTCGGTTGCTCCTAGGTTTGTTGTTGACTAAAATAAAGCTCAATGAGCCACATATCTACTACAGGCACTCCCTGTTCACCCATAATTTTGGCTTCTAAATAATTTTAATAGCCATTTGATCTTTCTTCTGTAGTGGTGTATATGAGTTAGAAATGATTACTGATTACTGATTCACAGCTTTATTTCTGTCATTTATAATGCCATTTGCCATCTATCTTTATTTTTACGTATCAGTTCTAGATAAAAGTAAAGTGCAACAAGGACATACCTTGAAACTGGTTAAACTGCTGGACAGGGTAGGGGCCTCTCTGCTGCTGTGGAAGCTGTCGGGGTAGGTGCTGCTGTTGTAACTGAAAGAGAAATATATACCACCCGCAACGAAAGGTTAGAATGCCTGAATCATCAAATATGTGTGTGATTTTTACAGCTTCGTTGGCACTAGTAGTCACCGGAAAAGAAAACACAGATGAGATTCCAGGAAAAAAACAGCTGAAATCTTAATACACTTAAAAATACCTATGAAATTACATTTCCATGGTTTACCAGCTTCCCTTCAGACACAGCATCTGAAGAAAACATTTAAAACTCACTGTCTTGAAGTGGAAAAGCTCTTTCATTTAAGGTATGAGGTTCTCTTGTGGCTCTAGAGGTATTTCTGTGATTTTTAACTAAACTTTGCTGCATATTGCCAGCAGTTGCTCTTTCAGACAGTTCAGAGCAATGACAAGAATTCAAGCTCAGGAGCATCCTCCCTCCCCCGAAAAACAACAATATCTATAGTTACTGCTTGTCCTTGCGACTAAAAATGCACATCATGACATTCTAAGAAAGAGCCTTCTCCTTCATGCCGGTTATCTAATTAAAATGTTAACCAAATGTATTGTTTCCCTGTGTAAGAAAACATATCTACTAATTGGTTTAATTAAATAATTATGTTGTGAGGGCAATGGATTTCACTGGCGGTGGGGTGCCCTCATGGGATATGGACGAGCAATGCAATGTTATGTTGTTCATGGCAGATGCATCTGCTGGTGTTTAATGTAGTTCAGCTTGTTATATCGACTCTTATTAAGAAAGGGCAAAATCCATGTAAACAACAGAGGGTGCAGCAGATATCTGCTTGTGAGATTTGTGGAATGAGCAAAGAAGAGTAATTTATAACAGGAAAGTGAGCCAGAGGGAGTAACGGGATGAGGGCAGGGGGAGGATGGATTGTTAACAGAAAAATAACTCTGGACAGTTATTAGGAGCAGTAAAGTAGATTTTAAATGTGTTGATTCAACAAATCCTTTCAGGTTCCTAAAGTACCAACTCTTGGCATGCCTCTGAGAAGTACACTTTACCTGTTCTGCCAGCATCTGCTGCTGCTGCTGTTGCCTTTGTTCCCTCAGAATCTGCTGCTTTTGCTGCTCTATCATCATTTGCTTCATCATGGCTGCCTGCTGCTGGTTGCCTAGGTAACCAGGTGCCCCTGGATTGGTGCTCGGCACAGGCGCCACACTGCCTGGGCCTGGTAGTGTCGGCTGTACAGCACCTGCCTGCCGGGAGATGCCAACCACATTCTGCTCCTGCCAAAGTCAAGATGAGAAGAATTAGGATATCATTGATACCGCTACTCACAAGTGTGCACAAGAACTGAACAACTCAATGTTCAAGACAGTAAAACACAGAGTGATCCCTTTCATGTCCCTTAACCAGGATGGAAAGTTAACCTCTGGTTAAGCCAAGCTCATTCAGGCAACAAAACACAATCTCAGTCAGATTTGCGAAGGCAGCTTATTAATACTCAGGTTTTTTAGTAAACCTACTTTTCAATAAATTGAATACCTTGTATTTAGAAACCACACAGACACAATAATTAAAAACTCTGAAACTGCCCGCTTCACGTTTTATTGAATTGCGGGTCCACCCAAACTGGAACTGTCAATTGTTTAAGACCACAGTACTGCAGAGGAAGAACGTGAATCACCAGATACTGTATGCATCTTTCACTTCCAGCAGGGCAGTCATGGGAGAGCATTTTTTATCCAGACATCAAGAATAGCAGATCATGGCTGACTAATGCCCACCCGTCACTGGCAGTGCTTTGACAAACAGTGCTGGTCACAGTCAGCTGGTGACAACACCCACGCTTGAACTGGCGATGGCTGGGCCCACCTGTGCTCTGAGCGAGTCCTTTCACTGCCAGAGCCACTTATTCATTTTACTTCCCCTTGCCTTGCTCTTCATCCACTGAATTACTTGTTTCGTCAGTTACACTGTACAATGATTTCTCATTTATGATGTGCCACGCGATTTCAAATAAAACCTTAAACCAAATTAGCTCATCATGTAAAAGATACTTTATTGTACAAACTATAAGTGCTTTTTAAGTAAATTGCCCTGGATTAGGTTGCCAGTTAAATAAAAACAAAAATCGTAATCTTAACGGTCTTTGTGGGCATTGTGAGCAGACTCCCAGCAAGAGCTGAATGCAGAAAAAGGGGATGCTCTTCCACCTGATTAAAGTCCCAGCTAGCTCACTCTGTTCACCATTAGCTCTTGAGTGGCATATCTTACTCTTGGCTGAAGAAACCCTGACTCCTTAAGGTACACAAACACTTCTTCTGCTTTGGAATCTGATGGCCTCTGTCCAATTCCCACTCAATGTCTTCAATGGTTTGTAGGATCCCTGAGTAGAATTTCCTTAATTCCTTGTAGAAACACAATGAGAGTAATCCTGACCCCTGCAGGTTAAGAACTGTAAATAATTTGTCTTTGTGTGAGTTTCAATGCTGTGGAAATATAATATGCTTCCTATCAGCCGGGAGAGATTACACAGTGTCTGCTGTTTTATGTGACTGGTCTCTTGCTCCATGCAGAAAGCCAGTGCACGTTCGAATCCCAATATACCACCACTCCATAAATGGATTACTTTTTTGTAGTCAAACAAAAGGCTCTCTTCTACCTGACATGAAAGATAACCTGATATTGACAGTCTGACACCCTGGTAAGCAAAGTCTTTAAAATCTCTGCTTACAAGACTTACATCTTACAGTTCACACCCCTGAGAATCATGAGAGTGGAAGTTATTTTAAAGTTAATTTTTTATATTTCACAAGTGGATATGATTGGCTTTCCAAATACTACAATTTAAATCACACTTAACTAAAATTAACAAAAGCACTGTGTCTACAAATCATGCAAACTGCCTTTATACATGATCCCACATACATCCAGCCTGAACTGAAAATAAATTCTGTCTTAATGTATTTAAAGGCTTAATGGCTACTGAGCTACAAATCCTACCATGTTTACATGACAAAAACTGAGAGCTTTTCTATCAGCTTCAGGTAAATAAGGGTTGGGATTTTTTAAGATAACTTGCTGCTAAAGTAGAACAAAGACACCTGTTAAAAACACATTGCAAATCAAACAGATGATACAATGACACTGAACATGTCAACTCAGAAGTTCCAGAAGATCTCAGAAAACTAGATTCAGCATTTGAAACAGTAACAATATAACAACAACTTAAAGCGAATACTCACTTCACTTTGCGAATCTTCTACGAGTCAGCACATACTGCAAGAGCTGTTTGTGTCTAAGCTGCCTTAATTATCAGCACACACACATTCCAGAACTCAACCACCGTGGCTTGTGCAGCAGGGTTTGTACTCGTCCTGTCACATTATTCCACATGTTGTCAACCTACTACGCAAAACAACTTTAAACAACTGTTTGTGCCCTGTTTATTGTTCTGTGAATACTGGATCTCGTCAAAGAAGAAAATTGTCATATCGAAACTTCACCTATGTCATCCTACTGAGCTGTATGAGACATTTAGACAATTTCCAACCTGGAAAGATACGCTGTAAATGGCTCCATCCTGGTCTATCCACTCTAAACACTGGACTGTCACTGGACTACACAGGTCTCCTATGCTCATAACTCAGTGCAGGTGGACAGTTTACTTTAAATTTCAATTGGAGCATAAAACAGAACACCCCACATACAGTAGTATCTCAGTAGGAAAGAGCGGCGGTCCATCGGCATACCTACTGTACTGTAGGTTCCCACTGTTCACTGTAATGCTTTTCACACAGAGAAGGAAAAATATAGTGAAACTGATTTACAGTATACCATTGTTTTACAAAGCTAAGGGCATGGAATTTAATGTACTCTCTGAATGGTACACCACTGTCACCGTGACAACACCACCAGTATTTGCACCCTTGGCCTAACAAAGTGATTTTACAGGTTTCAGAAAGACCAACAGAGCGCCAGAAACTTACTCCAGCATAAAATTTTTATGTGGTATGCTGTGTGGCAGACAAAATCTCTAAGGTGTTATTACACTTAATGCTTTAAGCCATAGGAGAATGCAGTGTTATTTTCATCCTAGTGTGCTGTTTTGTTTTCATAAAAATTTTATTTACTTACCCACCCCAACATCCCTTAACTTATTTATCCTAATGTCTGCAATCTGAATAATAAAGGCAGCTCATCTCATTCAGAGCCAAAGTCTGCAGGCAGTGCTAGCTTAAAACATTTCCCCTATTACTGACATCTTCTGATAACATAAGGCATGAAGTTCTAATGATAATCTCTGAATTGGACAGCCAGGGTATGAAGGGTCAGAAAAAAACTCCAACGAAATAATGTAACTGTTACCAGCTGTCACTGAACACAAAACCATATTTCCACAAGGCTAGCTCCCCGGGGTACTGTGTACTGAGGAATGTGAAGTTTTGTTCACACAAACACATATACAACATCGTTTTTCATACAGTACTCTATTTTAATTACAAGATCGACAACAAGACCTTAGGAACAGGTAGCCCCCCCAGAAAATTGTAAATATGTTTCAGAATTACAATAAGATCTTTGAAAGTCAATTTTTATTTCAGCTTTGGTCACACAAAGCTGTTGCTTTAGTCAAAGATAAGTCAGGTGGTGTGTGGTTACAAAAATGTACAGATTAAAAAAGTAATATACAAAATATAAAAACTATATATATATTACTATACCATACAATAGTACTTCACTGCTACAGTTTTATTAAACCATTACAAAAAGATTAAAACATCCGAAGCTGAAATTGACAAAAATACAGAAAATCCTTCTCTCAGTATGTCAAAAACAGATTGTGTTAAATTTAAAATTTACAGCGACCTTATTCAGCTTCTGTCCCTTGTAACCTCCTTTGGCTGCCAGCTCCCTAGGATCCACTCCTTCCTACGTTATGATCAAATCTTCAGTTTTTTTCCTCTCCGCAGAGCCTCTCTGCTAGTTCATCCGAGGAAAAAGAATTATCCTGATAAACCCTCTGCTTTTCTTCCTCTTTTCCCTACCACTTGAGACTTGCCAGTGAGGAATGTGGGAGAATACTCCTTAGCTGTTGCAAACTTCATCTTCTTCACTTGGAGGGCATTGCACAGCACTCTTTTCCCAAAAATATTATCTGTCCAGCGGAAAACCAGCAATTAGTCCTACAGATACAAACTTCTAACTGCTTCAAAATTTTCCTCTAACACTAATATTATATTTTCTAGGATCAGAAGTGCATTAGGATTTCGTGGTACTAGTACTGGGAAAAACTATAGAAATCAAGCACCTTCAAAAGGAAAAAAGCTAATTTGGGATCCCTTTTGTGCTGCTAACAGAGGGAAAGGTTGTGAATCTAATATACAGTCAGTATAAATTAGTTCAGCAGATCCCTGTGATGGGATGAGTATCCCAGAAGGTGGCGACGTTGCTCTGTTCTGTCGCAGTTCATGCTGGCCTTTTCCCAGAAGATGGCTTAATCATGACCAATGTAATATATTTTTCTCTCTTCCTCTTGGATAATGTGTCTAAGGCTGAGCCTAGGCAGTGAAGTGTGACGGCGTAGAGCAGGTAGCCTGGCAACTGAGAGCGTAATACTGAACAGATGGTGTTCATACAGCATGATGGACATCACACACAGCAGCCTGAGACAACCAAGGGAGTCCCGGGGGAACGGAGGCCCACTTTACTCAAAATGAGTTCTCGTCGCTGCCATATATCTTCTGCTTGTGGATCATGCCCCCACTCCCCCCCCGCAGTACCACCTCCAATCCCTGATCTGCCTGCCCGCATCTGAGGAATCATGACAACCAGCAAAACCACAATAGGGAGAGGCATTTCACAGCATAACATTTTGCCATTTTGCCCATGATGCATTTAACAAACACCAGGCTTAGCATTAATAGATAATGTGATACTACAGTGGGCTTCTGCTGCCTCTGATACGCCTTTAAATACAGTCCTGTAAATGGAATCCTCCTCTCATCTTTTCTGCCTGTTTTATAGCGGTGCCTTCCTTTAATCTGTTGCCAAAGAACAAGGCTGCACGCTGTAAATCACACAAACATTAACTGGAAGTTATTCTACAGTACCTGCATTTCTCTCTGCGCACTCTTTCACTGAAAGCTGCATTCAGCATGACACTTCTTGTCCCAGTTGTTGGCAGAAAAATGAAAACTCACAGATAAAACATCTACACCGACCACTTCAGCGTTTACAATTTTGAAGGAAAGACACATGTTTGCTTTAATTAAGGTGCATC